CCAGTTTTTTTCTACTAATTTTAGTCTAATTTTTACCCAGGTGAAAATAGTCTGGCGGCCAATTTCGTGAAATCAGTTACACGCTGCTTTGGTTTCACCATAAAACGATACAGAATAGCAATGTAGACACGAACTTTGGGTTCATTTCTCCCCCTTGACAAAGGATCTTTATCTAGGCACGAGAGCTGGGCGGCTCCTGGAGCCAGACTTCCTGGAAGGAATGTGCTTCCCGTTGATCCGTCTCAATGTAGTCAGCGATCGCCTTTTAGAGGATCTAAAAGCGTTTTTTTCTTTATCTACATTACATAGAGTAAACAACTGTTTAGCGAATTCCGCAAGAGGTCATGGGTGACCACTGAAGGTCTCACACAAACTGTGTAACAGGTTATATGCCAAAAAACTAAAAAAACTTCGGGTCACATACGAGCTCACACACACACACACACACACACACACACACACCACACACACACACACACACACACACACACACACCACCACACACACACATACACACACACACACAGGCCTAGTGTCTAATCGACATGTGCCTAGGACAAAATGGTAACAAAATGGTAACTAACTAACACACACACACACACACACACACACACACACACACACACACACACACACACACACACATATAACAGTCCTAGTGTCTAATCGACATGTGCCTAGGACACAATGGTAACTAACACGAGCTGTGACTCGATCCCTGCAACCACAACTAGGTAAGTACACGCTGCAACGGACCATATAATCATTGCAACAAGTCACACGACACGCACGAAGACAGCAACAGGTCTCAAAGACAACCAAGTGGTATCACACAACGACAACAACAATATTCGCTCAACGACAGACAGTTTTTGTCATAGATAACAACAAACCTAATACAAACACGGCAGTTGGTCTCAAACATAGACCTTTAAAATTCTCACAAAGACCACAACAGATCTTTCAGAAAGTCAAGAATATTTCTCGCGGAAAAGACAGCAACACCTCACAAGTTAGAGAGGAAATTCGAATCACGTGTTCGTCCGTCTTGGACAAATGGGAGAGAAAGCCAGATAGATGGCAGGCCAGGTCAACAGAGGTTAAGGTTAAGTCAAGAGAGGTTAGGAGACAGTGAAGACCAGGTCAATAGACAGTCGTTATAAGACAACTAAGGTTATCTCAACAAAGATTATGAGACAGCCAAGATTCGGTCAACGGAGATTAGAAGACAGCTAGAACACTGGTGTTCTAAAGATAGGAGCATTTAACAATGTGCTGGGAAACGCAGGCGTCAACAGCAACAAAATCGGGACTAAGAACAAGACGGCCGCTTCTAAGTAGATGAAGGATAAATAATTCTGACAGAGAATTAGCTTATGGGATGAGTAGGAGTCTTTAACATGACAGAAAAGAGCATTGTTATTATCAACGAAGAGCAGACTTCTCAAAAGTCTGCCAGACAGAGAATGGCCAATTTCACCACTGTATCGGCGAACTCGCGAACAACTGAGCACCCGAAGTATCAGCGGTAAGTGAATTATGAACCAGATGGCGGCAAAATACATTATTTTGAAGAAATACAGATGGATAGAATGATGGACATAAACAGTAAAGGTATATAGTAATGATATATAAATACTGTGGTAGAGTATACCGAGAGTAAGTTAAGTCGTTTTATTGAACGTTTTCACAATAAAATGACATAACTCGCATTGTGTTTTATTTACATGGAGTGACTGATGAGGATAATAATGACTGGAGTAGCGAGTTAGCTTCACGTGCAGCTCTAAACTTTATTGATGGAAAAGGAATAATAAGAGGAGGACAACTGGGCTGGTAAGTAGTGGCCAGAAAGCGAAGACATCGTGTACACAGAGAAGCCAGAGCGAAGGACGTATACCAGTAGCAGGAAGTAGAACAGCTTCAAAATACTCTGTATCTAGGTTAGCAAATGCGAGGGATAAAGCAGAACACATCCACAGTGAAAGTTTGGGAATAGTTGGTTACATTTTAAGATAGAAAAAGAGTTAGAATTCACAAAAGGACAAATAAGATTAATGAAAACGAGGTCTTTCGTTTTATTTTTGTTAGAAAAGTTTCCTCGCTAAGAAGAGCGTTAGTACTAATTGTGCTCACTAAGAAGAACGTTAGTACTAAGTTTACTCATTAAGAAGAACGTTAGTACTAAGTGTTCTCACTAAGAAGAACGCTAGTACTGTGCTAGGAAGAACGTTAGTACTAAGTGTGCTCACTAAGAAGAACGTTAGTATTAAGTGTGCTCACTAAGAAGAACGTTAGTACTAAGTGTGCTCACTAAGAACGTTAGCACTAACTGTGTTCACTAAGAAGAACGTTAGTACTGTGCTAAGAAGAACGTCATTACTAAGTGTGCTCACTAAGAAGAACGTTAGTACTCTGTTCACTAAGAAGAACGTTAGTATTAAGTGTGCTCACTAAGAAGAACGTTAGTACTCTGTTCACTAAGAAGAACGTTAGTATTAAGTGTGCTCACTAAGAAGAACGTTAGTATTAAATGTGCTCACTAAGAAGAACGTTAGTACTGTGTTCACTAAGAAGAACGTTAGTACTGTGTTCACTAAGAAGAACGTTAGTATTAAGTGTGCTTACTAAGAAGAACGTTAGTACTAAGTGTGTTCACTAAGAAGAACGTTAGTACTAACTGTGTTCACTAAGAAGAACGTTAGTACTAAATGTGCTCACTAAGAAGAACGTTAGTACTAAGTGTGCTCACTAAGAAGAACGTTAGTACTAAGTGTTCTCACTAAGAAGAACGTTAGTACTGCGCTAAGAACGTTGGTACTAAGTGTGCTCACTAAGAAGAACGTTAGTACTGTGCTCACTAAGAAGAACGTTAGTACTAAGTGTGCTCACTAAGAACGTTATTACTAAGCGTGCTCACTAAGAAGAACGTTGTTACTAAGCGTGCTCACTAAGAAGAACGTTAGTGCTGTGTTCACTAAGAAGAACGTTAGTACTAAGTGCGCTCACTAAGAAGAACGCTAGTACTAAGTGTGCTAACTAAGAAGAACGTTAGTACTAAGTGTGCTCACTAAGAAGAACGTTAGTACTAAGTGTGCTCACTAAGAAGAACGTTAGTACTAAGCGTGCTCACTAAGAAGAACTTTAGTACTAAGTGTGCTCACTAAGAAGAACGTTAGTACTGTGTTCACTAAGAAGAACGTTAGTACTAAGCGTGCTCACTAAGAAGAACTTTAGTACTACGCGTGCTCACTAAGAAGAACGTTAGTACTACGCGTGCTCACTAAGAAGAACGTTAGTACTAAGTGTGCTCACTAAGAAGAACGTTAGTACTACGCGTGCTCACTAAGAAGAACGTTAGTACTAAGTGTGTTCACTATGAAGAACGTTAGTACTGTGTTCACTAAGAAGAACGTTAGTACTAAGCGTGCTCACTAAGAAGAACGTTAGTACTAAGTGTGTTCACTATGAAGAACGTTAGTACTAAGCGTGCTCACTAAGAAGAACGTTAGTACTAAGCGTGCTCACTAAGAAGAACGTTAGTACTAAGTGTGTTCACTATGAAGAACGTTAGTACTGTGTTCACTATGAAGAACGTTAGTACTGTGTTCACTAAGAAGAACGTTAGTACTAAGCATTGTCTCTACTTTGTAACGAAGCATTTTTTGCCTTCCTCAACACAAGAGGAATATGATTATAATTATACATATCATGAAGAATAAAAACCACAATACCAATACTGGAACACTGTACAAATAACCCGCTGATAGCACTAGTTATGGGTCCAAGTTGGACTGCAACGTTGTCACAACTTTTATTCTCCTTTGTGCTGGTTATTCGTGTATATGCATCACCGTCGGTATGAAATAAAATAGATTTCTTATTACCAGGATAAAATATACTCATAATACACTTTTGTGGGGGAATATTATGAGCAAGGAATGATAGATTATGTGAGGCGACCCACTCAGTCTTATAGACGTGAGCATGAATGTTCAGTTCTTTTTTTGTGTGTGGTTACGTGTAACATACTATTATAAAAACATTAACCACATATTTATCGAAGAAATCATTTTTATTAAAAACACCAGTGGTGCAAATTACTTTAACATTTAAAATAATTACTGTAAGCATTAACGTTTGGAAAGAATGACAGAGTCTCCCCTTGGTGGAGTGATTTAGTAACTATTGATGAGGACATCAAAAATGTTACTGACCTCTCCACTTTCGAACATTCCACCGAGGTGTAATTATGTGGGTAGAATTACCGACAGTATGTTAGGGAAAAGGCTTACACACGTGCAACTAATGTAACATTTTGTTGTGGCAACGTTTCGCTCTCCCGGAGCTTTGTCAAGCCTTTAAAAATAATACATGGACACAGAGGTAATAAATAGGTACAGGGTGAGGTAAAAAGCATATACAATCGTTGTAGGTAGTAGTAGCAGTACTTGTGGTAGTAGTAGCAGTAGCAGTAGTAGTAATAGTAGTAGTAGTAGTAGTAGTAGTAGTAGTAGTAGTTAGTAGTTAGTAGCAGTAGTTGCAATTAAACCCCTCCATGAAATAGCTGCCACCACTACTTAGTACTATTATTACTACTACTACTACCTACAACGATTATATTATGCTTTGTCCCTCTGTATCTACAATATACCTTGTGTGTCCCTATATTGCTTGTAAAGACTTGACAAAGCTCCTGGAGAGCGAAACTTTGCCACAATAAAATATCACACTAGTTGCATTTGTGTCCTTTTACCCAACACATTCCATAGAGGTACTGATGAATAAAACACATGTGCAGCAACATACGGGTGTCTTTATTACTGATACATTGGTGCGCATGTGTTTTAATAATCATCTCGTCGGTATTATATACAATTGGTATAGTGACGTCAAGGTATTGTTAACAATAGGACTGCTAATAAACTCATTTACTTACCACCGCTTTATAAATCACCAATCATTATTTTTGTTAATAAGTTTTTTGTGTGTGTTTACAGGTAATGGTATGGTTTACTGGGCAGTCATGGCCACCAACATTACCTCTGTCAACCTACGCTCACACATTGTCAACCCGTGAAGTGTGGAGAATAAGGACTCACGTGCACAAGCAAGACAATCACCGAAGCAGACGTTTCGCCAGTGTCGGCTTCATCAACCCACTTTCGCACACCCACAAACCTTGAACAAGCAGGTCACTGCAGGAGTAGGCAACAACCCTAACATCGACCCTCAAACCGCGTCCTGCAGTACACGCACCTGTAACCCTCCCCTCCCAACACACACTTGTGGTACAGTCCTCGCTGATGGGCTAAGAGTTAAGGACATAAACAGGAATACTCTTATTTCCATCACAGCGGCCAAGAAGATACATTCTTAATGTGAAAAGTTGTCGTCAGTAACTTCCTTAAGCATAAGAAGTTCTCTATATACTTTTACAGCTTAAAAAAATTGTGGATAGTGTCTAGAATGGTTATTTCACAAGTGTTTTTGTGCGCAAACAACCAGAGTACATAAGACGAATCGTAATTGTTACTTGAGCATTTCATTTAGATTACTTTTGGCCCGGCTTCTGAATTATCTTGAACAGTGAATTGCTTCGAAGCGGTGCACTAGAACGACAGAACTCAACTTCGCCCAGTCAGAAAAAGGGTCACTACTGCGTACAAACCTACAAGAATTGGGTAGGAGTGTGGACGGGAAGAGAAAGAAGAAGTTCCAGAGCGGGAGGCGTGAAGACATCACGTCCCTGAAGGTTTGACATGGCTTAGGTACACTTATGTACAGGAAGAGTATAGACATGACACAGAATGTGGCAGGAAGCAAGTATGGCGTATCTAAGGAGCAGTTGCGGAGACTTATGGACGCCAGAGGTCATGACGGCCTCCAGCGTCTACAAGAAGAGTTCGGCTCTGTGGAAGATGTCTGTCATCGCCTGCACTCACACCCTACTGAGGGTGAGTACCCTTACACTCACACCCTACTGAGGGTGAGTACCCTTACACTCACACCCTACTGAGGGTGAATACCCTTACACTCACACCCAACAGAGGGTGAGTACCCTAACACTCATACCCTACTGAGGGTGAGTACTCTTACACTCACACCCTACTGAGGGTGAGTACCCTTACACTCACACCCTACTGAGGGTGAGTACCCTTACACTCACACCCTGCTGAGGGTGAGTACCCTAACACTCATACCCTACTGAGGGTGAGTACCCTTACACTCACACCCTACTGAGGGTGAGTACCCTAACACTCATACCCTACTGAGGGTGAGTACCCTTACACTCACACCCTACTGAGGGTGAGTATCCTTACACTCACACCCTAATGAATGTAGGTACACTCACACATTATGGAAGGTAAGTACACTCGCACTCTCACGAGGGTAAGCGCACTTTCACCTTCACGATGATAAGTACTCACATATCCTCCTAAGTACTAAGGAGTACTCAAGAAATGGTAAATTAATAAGAAAACTTTAATAATAATAATAATAATAATAATAATAATAATAATAATAATAATAATAATAAACAGAATATATGCCCCTGAGAGGTATATTCTCTCAGCATAAATATATACAGAGAGTTTACATTAATCCCTATTTCAGAGATTAAAGTATTCTTGTCTGGTGGTGAAAGGGTTACATGCAGTCTTAATGACCCTAGTGTAGTCGATAGGCTTGAAACCCAGTTAACCAACCGACCCGAAGGGCAGTCTATATCAAGAGGAAAGTGTACCGCTGCAGTTATAAACAGGTTGGATGTATATTAATGTACGTATTAATGACTCGAGTGTGTTTTCTGCTCTCGTATGAGTGGGTCGATACACTTCTGTTTGGCTAATGTGCTTTCGAAGAACTATTGTAAATACGGAGGTGATAAATAAACATTGGGTAATTAAGGAGGTTAATTGGCATAATAAGACTTAATAGTCGGTTATTCTGTGGGGGGAGAGAGAAAGACAAAAAAATATGTTGATGGTTGTAGATGCTGTCAGAATGATGTCTATAGCGTGTGGCCACAGCCGGCCACAGCAATGATAGTGTGGCCACAGCCGGTCACAACAATGATAGTGTGGTCACAGCAGGCCACAACAATGATAGTGTGGCCACAGCCGGCTACAACAATGATAGTAGTGTGGCCACAGCCGGCCACAATGATAGTGTGGCCACAGCCAACTACAACAATGATAGTGTAGCCACAGCCGGCTACAACAATGATAGTGTGGCCACAGCCGGCCACAATGATAGTGTGGCCACAGCCGGCCACAACAATGGTAGGAGAGGGGCCACAGCCGGCCGCTCATATGAGGTAATATTTTCATGGCACAAAGACAAACAACTCATTAGATTACCATGCTGACATGAAGCTCTGCATGACGCAGAGCTGACAGTTTCTCCGCTAGCAGAGGTCCAATCAATAACAATGGTTCTTTCTCATGGGATAATCATGTCAATGAGACCCTGGGCATGGTACGTGGTACGTGAAGTATCGACACACCTCTTGATGGTGCCGTGTGGTATGCAATGATGGTGGTACCATCTTCGTGGGACAAAGCTGGTGGTACAATATTTTATGTTATATTACTGGTGGTACAGTACTGTGTTGGTGGTACTGTGTTGGTGGTACAATGTTTTGTGTTATATTGCTGGTGGTACTGTGTTGGTGGTACAATGTTTTGTGGTGTATTCTGGGTGGCACTGTGTTGGTGGTACAATGTTTTGTGGTGTATTCTGGGTGGCACTGTGTTGGTGGTACAATGTTTTGGGGTATATTGCTGGTGGTACTGTGTTGGTGGTACAATCTTTTGTGGTATAGCGTTGTTTGGTACAATGTTGGTGACACATTGTTTCGGTTAGTGGTACAGTGTTCTAGTACACTCTGTGGTGCTCTAGTATACTGTGTGATGTTCTAGTACTCTGGTGTTCTAGAACACTGTGTGATGTTCTAGTAGACTGTGGGGTGTTCTAGTACACTGTGTGATGTTCTAGTACTCTGGTGTTCTAGAACACTGTGTGATGTTCTAGTAGACTGTGGGGTGTTCTAGTACACTGTGTGATGTTCTAGTACTCTAGTGTTCTAGAACACTGTGTGATGTTCTAGTAGACTGTGGGGTGTTCTAGTACACTGTGTGATGTTCTAGTACTCTAGTGTTCTAGAACACTGTGTGATGTTCTAGTACTCTGGTGTTCTAGAACACTGTGTGATGTTCTAGTACACTGTGTGATGTTCTAGTACACTGTGTGATGTTCTAGTACACTGTGTGATGTTCTAGTACACTGTGTGATGTTCTAGTACATTGTGTGATGTTCTAGTACACTGTGTGATGTTCTAGTACTCTGTGTGATGTTCTAGTACTCTGTGTGATGTTCTAGTACACTGTGTGATGTTCTAGTACTCTGTGTGATGTTCTAGTACTCTGTGTGATGTTCTAGTACACTGTGTGATGTTCTTGTACACTGTGTGATGTTCTAGTACTCTGTGTGATGTTCTAGTACTCTGTGTGATGTTCTAGTACACTGTGTGATGTTCTAGTACTCTGTGTGATGTTCTAGTACTCTGTGTGATGTTCTAGTACTCTGTGTGATGTTCTAGTACTCTGTGTGATGTTCTAGTACTCTGTGTGATGTTCTAGTACTCTGTGTGATGTTCTAGTACACTGTGTGTTCTAGTACACTGTGTGGTGTTCTAGTACACTGTGTGTTCTAGTACACTGTGTGGTGTTTTAATACAAGGATGTTCTAGTACACTGTGTGGTATTCTAGTACATTGATGTTCTAGTATACTGACGTTCTAGTACAGAGTGTGGTGTTCTAGTACACTGGTGTTCTAGTATAGTGTGTGGTGTTCTAGTACACTGTGTGGCTTACACTGTCTGGTGTTCTAGTTGTTGTAGTACACTGTCTGGTTTTCTAGTACACTGGCGTTCTAGTACACTGGCGTTCTAGTACACTGGTGTTCTAGTACACTGGCGTTCTAGTACACTGGCGTTCTAGTACACTGGCGTTCTAGTACACTGGTGTTCTAGTACACTGGTGTTCTAGTACACTGGTGTTCTAGTACACTGGCGTTCTAGTACACTGGCGTTCTAGTACACTGGTGTTCTAGTACACTGGTGTTCTAGTACACTGGTGTTCTAGTACACTGGTGTTCTAGTACACTGGTGTTCTAGTACACTGGCGTTCTAGTACACTGGTGTTCTAGTGCATTGTCTGGTGTTCTTGTACACTGTGTAGTGCTCTAGTACACTGATGTTCTAGTACACTGTGTGATGTTCTAGTGCTCTGTCTGGTGTTCTAGTATACTATCTGGTGTTTTAGTACAGCATGTGGTGTTCTAGAATAATGTGTGATGTTCTAGTACACTGTGTGGTGTTCTAGTACACTGTGTTGCTTACACTGTCTGGTGTTCTAGTTGTTCTAGTACACTGACGTTCTAGTACACTGGTGTTCTAGCACGCTGGTGTCCTAGCACATTGTCTGGTGTTCTAGTACACTGTCTAGTGTTCTAATACAATGTGTGGTGTTCTAGTACACTTTGTGGTGTTCTAGTACACTGTGTGGTGTTCTAGTACACTTTGTGATGTTTTAGTACACTGTCTGGTGTTCTAGTACACTGTCTGGTGTTCTAGTACACTCTGTGGTTGTGTTCTAGTATACTGTCTGGTGTTTTAGTACAGTGTGTGGTGTTCTAGTGTAGTGTGTGATATTCTACTACATTATGTGGTGTTCTAGTACACTGTGTGGTGGTGCTCTAGTACACTGTCTAGTGTTCTCGTACACTGTTTGGTGTTCTAGTACACTGGTGTTCTGGTACACTGATGTTCTGGTGCACTGTGTGGTGTTCGAGTACACTGTGTGGTGTTCGAGTACACTGTGTGGTGTTCTAGTTCACTGTGTGGTGTTATAGTACACTGTGTGGTGTTCGAGTACACTGTGTGGTGTTCGAGTACACTGTGTGGTGTTCTAGTTCACTGTGTGGTGTTTTAGTACACTGTGTGGTGTTCTATTATATTGGTGTTTTAGTATACTGTGGGGTGTTCTAGTATACTGGTGTTCTAGTACGCTGTGTGGTGGTGTTCTAGTACAGTGTGTGATGTTCTAGTACACTGTTTGGTGTTCTAGTAAACTGTGTGGTGTTCTAACGCACTGTGTGGTGTTCTAACGCACTGTGTGGTGTTCTAGTACACTGTGTGGTATTCTAGTACAATGGTGATCTAGTATACTGTGTGGTTCACTAATAAATTGTCTGGTGTACTAGTACACTGGTGTTCTAGAACATTGTCTGGTGGTCTAGTAGAGTGTGTGGTGTTCTAGTAGTGTGTGGTGTCCTAGTAGAGTCTGTGCTGTTCTAGTACACTGTGTGGTGTTCCAACACACTGTGTGGTGTTCTAGTACACTGTGTGGTGTTCCAGCACACTGTGTGGTGTTCGAGTACACTGTGTGGTGTTCTAGTACACTGTGTGGTTTTCGAGTACACTGTGTGGTGTTCTGTTACACTGAGTTTCTATTACACTGGTGTGACGTTTAAAGATAATTTTTTTTATTTTTTTTTTCATTTATGTTAATGTTAATGACTGTGTACCAAAAATCCTTAGAAAACTTACCTAACCTTATTATAACAAGCGCAATTTAATTTAGCCTAATCCAACTAAATATATTTTAGATAAGTTTACAATAATTTAATAATAAACACAATGGAATATAATTTTTTTCGTTAGGTTCAGAATTATTTTGGTGAAATTATTGCATACACAAATTTTCGCATACGTCGTGCCGAATACGTAATATTTGCGATTTTGGCTTAAATAGCAACGCACTTTTTGCCGAATAGGGCAAGAGAAACTTTGTATACGCAATAATTTCGCTGGTGTTGAAACCAGATCTGCAAGTACTCGAGCCAAGATGTCATCGCTAATGTGGTCTGCTCTGCTGCTGATGGTGTCAT